CTTGTAAGAATGGTGAGTTCGCCTCCTTTGCTGAAGGGTTCTGTAGTAATAAAGGTGAAATTTAGAAAAAGTTGGCATTTATTATGATATTCAGGTTGTGCTCATTCTGTGTTATGCTGTTTTTGTTGTCCGACATTGGTTGCCAGTAGCAATAACCACGTCCCTCTCCACCGTGTACATAGTGATAAAGGTAATTGAATTTCTTTTTTGTAAGGTATTCAGCGCCGAGAGGGGTGGGCATTTCGCACCTTCGCTGCCCCGCTGCTTCCGGTCCACAAGTCTCACTATAGCGAAACCTGTGCACTCTTGTGAAGTTGGAGGAAGCTCGTCAAGCCACCTGATGGAACCTGTCAACTCTCGTTAGCCCATGAGATGTTCTCCAGGTGGCTCAACACGTCGATGGAAAGTAGCAAAACTGCAAAATGCCCCCTTCGTCGCCGAAGTGTGCCTGTTTTATTCATTTTGAAGGGTGATTTTTCTAGGTCTTATTCTTCTTCTCACACAAACAAGGAGGTCTTCCGCAGTATCTATTAGTGCTAGCATCTTTTTCTATTGCATGGTTTGAGTTATGGCTAATGCCTTTCAAGGTTTTGCCAGGCGAACGCCGATGTAAGTTATGCACTCGTGGGTTGATTGCTTCGATGAGGAGGCTCTAAGAGTGTAATGAAGCGAAATCGCATTATATTGAATGTCAGTTCCAGGCGAGCATAACGAATCCTACACGAATCAGGATGAGTTGTCCGTATCAGTCCGTGGTAGCTCATTCAGAGAGCCACCGCGTATGAATAACGCCCTTGCTTCACGTTATATCTCAGATGACGAGTTTCGCAGTGCGATGGAGTTTTCGTCAGGTGAGTGTATTGCATAATTGATTTCTAACCTTCGATTCAGCGCTTTTACTCAAATACACTGTTTCAGAGGATGAGACATTCCACGGTCCACTGCGAATGCGTGGTGGACAAATTCCCATAGAGATTAGGGAGAAGTATGAGAAGGTAAGTTGGTCCAAAAGATGTTTTCCTTACCACTAGACCATATTAAAATCTCGCGAGTGTAGAGAGGCTGCGATGCCGGCGAGTCCTCCATTGATCTTTTCTCGAAATGTGAAATTTTCCCCAGTCACGACCGGGCACGTCGTATGTTGTGGGTCCTCAGCGAGGGGGGAGGGGGTCGTACTCGGTCGCTGGAGAGAGGGGTTGTATTTGCGTTATTGGCTACCGACCAACTGTCCTGTTTCAAAAACGCTATATGCTCCCATTCGCTTCTTGAAGGTGGTATTGTAGAAAAATTTATGAAAAAACTCTGGAAAAGTGGCAGGAATTTGGGAAGATCTAAGAACATGGTAGGTAGAATGAATGGAGAGGGATGAAGGGTCGTACCAGAAGAGGAAATTTGCAAGCAGGTAGTGCTCTGCAAAAACTTTTTCCAACAGGAGGACGTGCCCGGATCACGAAGGCTTCGAAAGCGCCAGTGGGTGGAGTCAATCGATTCGATCCATTCCTTTGTCCTAATTCGGAACCCCGGTTCTCCACATCCCATATGAACAACGTGTACTTCGACCTCAGTGATGACTAGTTGATTTTAGGCGTTGCGTGATGCTTCCCCGAAAAGGTAGAATTTCACTTCGCAGGCACGAATGGGAGAATGGATAGGTCTTGAAGTGGGGCAAGGAACGCCTTAAGCGGTAAGATACTAATCGTTCAGCCGTTGATTAATTACTATGAAGGCTATCCGGTTTTTTAAACTTCCGCTGCCGCATGTGCTGTCCCCCGAAATGGAAGGGGTGTGGCTGCGTGCTTCATGGCGTAGAGTGCGTTTTTTGGCTATTTCGTTTCGAGAGAGTTGTCACTTTGTCTTGTGCTGTATAAAAACGTTGTTTCAATCGTCCCTCAACATCAGTATCCTATCGAGAGTGCAGCCGCCATCAGGTGCTAATGAATTACGCAGCTACGCCTTCCCTAGCTTGTCGGGATACTGTCGGATTAGTACGTACTGTCTAAAAGCGTCATGGTGCAAATTTGAAATTTCTTGGGGTTGTTTTTTTAGGGAAATTTGCTGGCGCAGTTTGGCGACGGGGATGGCCATTTTGCACTAGTTTTTGTTGACAAGCCTTACTCTGGTGAAATCTGTGAATTCTGTGAAGCTGGAACAAGCTCGCGGAGCCACCATGGTAAAACCTGTCAACTCTTGTAAGCTCGTGAAAGCTCTCTAGACTTGTCGATGGCAAGTAGCAAAAGTGCAAAATGCCCCCTTGCCGCCGAACTGCCCTAAGTTGTCTAATGAGAACTTATGAAAGTCACGGGGCTAGGCTTTGGACGAGGAATCCCGATCTGGGCATCTTCGTATGACGCGAATACGAAAGTGGGCATTCGTTTGTGGAGTCACCACGAGCGGCGCCAAAATGACAGATTAAGCAGTTTTTCACGAACTAGCGGCCTGAAAAGAGACAGCTTGACCGTCAGGTATCAGAATGGGGAAAATCCGGTAAATAATGCTACCTGGACCTGCCCAGATCCCTCATATCCTGGCTAAATACTTTCTCTCTGCAATAGATAAATTGCTATTTTTTTCACAGGAGGAAAGGCAAGTTGGTTTTCGCGGGGAGGTAGGATCTGGGGCGAGCTAGACAGAATCTAGAGTGACAAGGCAAGATCTGGGGTCGGGATCTTAGAACATTTTTTCTTCTTTTCTCGTACGCCTGAAGTTTTGGCTGCTCTTTTTGTGAAGATTCCTCTGATGTGTTCATGCAGCTTCAGGGAGGGAAGTAGTTCTGCAACGAGAACTGCCAAACCCATCGAAGTTTTTTTCCGAAGAAATTCGATGTAAAAAGGACTGGTTCAGATCCCTGTGAGGAGATATTTTCCATTATGGACCCTTATAGGTATTGCAAGCACCAGATTCGTCTTACTTCATTCGATCGGATTTCTCCTGTTCACCACAAGTGTTGTTCGATGCGGCATGGAGAGATGTGCTACGGTGGAATACGCAACTTGTCGAAGCAAGGGTAAGCTTTAGACTTTGAACCGGAGACATCGGCCTTGCTTCTTCCAGGTGGTACGTAAGGTGCTTGCAGGTAATTGCCACCATTGATCCAGTAACTGACTTGTACTATTCAATGAGTGCACCTGCGCTAAAAGGTTACGTTTCGTCACGGTGAGTTGCCGTTTCTGAAGAGATGAAGGAATTAAATTTGCCGAGTTTTGCTAGAGAAAGTAATTTTTTAGTGATTTTGTTGATATTCGTCGCGTACATTTCGATTCGGCTATACAAACGTATACTGGAGTGTTCGTTTCCGTTGAGTCTCATGCTTGTCCAGCACACGCTAAC